AATGGCTGTCCAGTCTCTTCTTAAAAGAGACTGGACAGCGATGGAGAACATTTCATTTCTGTTTTACTCTGTCTCCTTTTTTTCCCCTCAGACCAACCTGGCAAGCGAATCAATCAGAACGGGAAAAACAGGTTTTTTAAAGAGATCTATCAAGGCTTTTTCAACACGCTTACTTGACTTCTGCGAGAAGTGCCCAGTTCATTCCTCTGGAAAATTTTAAAATTCAGAAATCCGCTTCCGCTCAAGCTCTGCCTATCTAACCTTCTGTTCAGGAAAGACCTACGACAGATTTCCAGATATATTTTCCAAAAGAGATCACACAGACTTCCTGTAAACAAGAAATTTAATACCCCAGAAGGCTGCCAAGGCTGATGTGACCTTTCCCATTCATTAGCTCTTCAAGCATCAGAGCTTTACGTCGTCCGTGGTCGCCCATGCGCTTGGCAAGGAGAAAGCGGCACAAACAGTTCCTGACACTAATACAGGCACAGGGTATGCATTCACACCAGGAAATTAACCCGGTTATGGAATCAACCCAATTTCTAGAATCGCACACCAATACTAAACTAATCGAAACATGAATAAACTGGTCAAAACACGAAATAAACTAATCATTGGGTCTTCAGAACTTCTAGGCCCGGGGTAGGCAACCTTGGCTCTTTTATGACTCGTGGACTTCAACTCCCAGAATTCCTGAGCCAGCATAGCCTAGGCCTACAAACTGCAGCTTGTAACTCACCCAGTTAAGCCCACTGTGTGAACTCTGCAACTTACATATATATGTAGTCCTTGACTTACAAGTTAGTGGCCATTTGCAACGGGTGGAAGCTAACCAAAGAGAGAAGCAACCTAGAACTAAGGAGAAACTTCCTGACAGTTAGAACAATTAACCAGTGGAACAATCTGCCTCCAGAAGTGGTGAATGTGCCAACACTGGAAGTTTTTAAGAAAAAACTGGACAGCCATTTGTCCGAAATGGTATAGGGTTTCCTGCCTGAGCAGGGGGTTGGACTAGATGACCTCCAAGGTCCCTTCCAACTTCATCATCATCATCATCATCATCATCATCATCATCATCATCATCATCATTATTATTATTATTATTATTATTATTCACACTTACGGCCGTTGCAGCATCCCTGTGGTCACATGATCAAAATTCAAAGGCTTGGCAACTGACTTGTATTTATCACGGTTGCAATGTCCCGGGGGCTAGGTAATCCCCTTTTTGTGACCTTCTGACAAGGAAGTTTAATGGGGAAACCAGATTCACTTAACAACCGTGTTACTAACTTAACCCCTGAAGGGATTCACTTAACGACTAGTGGCAAGAAAGATGGTAAAATGGAGCAAAACTCACTTAACTGACGTCTCGCTTAGCCACAGAAATGGGCTCAATTGTGGTCGTAAGTTGAGGACTTACCTGTGTTGCCACTTAAAAGATTCATGTCATAACAACTGTGAAAAATTACTTTGGGACGGTGGAGCAAATATGGCCGGTCCTGGTTTATACACAGCTAAAACGCCTGACTTGGAAAGTCTTAATAGTCTGGTTTTTCTGATCATCCCAATTTGGTGAAAATATACGTAAGCCATAATGTAAATGTTTCTAACGTAGGCCGTGATTGGAAGCTGTTAAGGCAGCTGGTGAGAACAGCTTTTCTCAGCTGATACCCGGCAGATGTGCTGGGATAACAACTCCCAGAATTCCAAGCTCTGCTGACAAAAGGATGTTGACAACTGCTCTCCCGGCACATCTGGAGATGGCCAGATGGGAGAAGGTGGGGTTAAGACGGGCTTTAGTAGAGAGGATTTAATGCCCTGCTAATACAGGTAGTTCTTGATTTATGGCTGGTTGCTAAGTAACACTTCAAACAACAGAGTCCCCCAAAGCTACCTGTGACCTGATTTTGAAACCACAAGGGCAACACACACACGCTCCTGCGGTCATGTGATCATATGTTGGGTGCTCGGCAACTGGCTCAACTTTATGGCTGTTTGCAAGCAGGCACATGACTGATTTTTCATGGGTTTGGGGGTTTTTTTTTGTCGATTTCCAGCATTTACTTCCATTTTCTGCCAAAATATGCCCACTGGATGAAACGGGTTTGCTTAGCACAGTGGTTCTCAACCTTTTTAATGCCGCGACCCCAACCGGTCGTAAGTCGAGGACTAAACCGGTCGTAAGTCGAGGACTAAACCGGCCGTAAGTCAAGGACTACCCAACCGGTCGTAAGTCGAGGACTTTCCCTGCCCGGGAGCGCCGTGCATGCGTGGTTCCACCCCCTGCGCCGGCCGAGGCGTAGCTGGCAAGCGGCAGAGATGGAGCAGGCCGACCACCAGCTGGCCCAGCCCAAGGGAGGTAAGGCACCCGCCGGAAAAGGGGGGAAAATGGCGGACAAAAAAAATTGCGGACAAAAAAAATGGCGGACAAAAAAAATGGCGGACAGCCTTGCTTGGCGACCCCCATGAAATGGTCGATCGACCCCAAATGGGGTCCCGACCCACAGGTTGAGAACCACTGGCTTAGCAAGTACTCTGTTTGCTGAACAGCCATCACAAAAAGTCACAAAATCCGTTCCAGTCACACAGTGGCCTGCTTAACAACTGCAATTCCAGGCTCAATTACATACTAGCTATATGTGATTCCTTTTTTTAAAAAATAAAAATAAAAATACGTACAGGTAGTCCTCAACTTACAGCCACAACTGAAGCCCCAAATTTATGTGGCTGAGCAATTTGCTAAGCGAGATGCCCCGCTTTATGACTTTCCTTGCCACATTTGTTAAACCAATCATGGGCAGTTGTTAAGTCACGTGGTTTTTACGAGAATCCGGTTTCCCCACTGGCTCGATCACATGATCCCAGGACGCGACTGCCGTCACAAACAGGAGTCAGTTGTACAGCATCCGAATGCAAATCGCGCGACCCTGGGGATGCTTCAACGGTCATTAAGTGTGAAAAATGGCCCTAAGTCGCTTTTTTTCAGTGCCGTTGCAACTTCCAACGGCCAGTAAGTGAATTGTTATAAGTCAAGGACTACCTGTATCTTTTAGTCTGTGTTGATTTCTGGCAACTGCTTGGATCAGTCCCTGCAGCTTTTTTTTGGGGGGGGGCAGGGTTTTGGAAGCACCCTTTACTACGTACTTTGCCTTCTTCTTCCTCGGACTGAGAGTAACTGGCCCAGGGCTTTGTGCTTAAAGTGAGACTAGAACTCACAGCCACCCCGTCTGTGCCCTGGTGCATTAACCACAACAACTACACTACACTACACAACACTAAACTGGGCTCCAGGCCTCCAGCTACAAGGGGCGAGTTTGTCATGCAGTTGAAGAGAGAGAGGACTAAAAGCAAGGACTGGGACCCCGGGTGGCAATCTTGAACTCAGCACTTTAAAAGTTAGTCCGTCTTGCCATCTGCAGGGGAGGCACCAGCATCTTCCTCTGCATTTACTGCTCTAATTTCTCAGGTCCCTGTTATAAGATCAAGCAGAAAAGCCCTGGGGGGGGGGGAGTGTTGTTTCCCTTACAGAAAGATATCCTGTTCAGAGGATTCCCACCAACCTCCCTAAAAAGTCAGATTTTTATGAGCGCTGTGCCTGAGGGAGTGGGGGGGTGGGTAGGAGGGGGCTCACACACTCGATTGTGGTTGAACCTGGGCAAAAAAAAAGCTCAGTTTTCATCTGGAAAGCCTCGGTTTAAATCTCACTGCCTCACCATTAAGCCAGTGGCTGTTGGCAGCTGCTCGCAAGCTTCTCCATAAAGCAAGGAAGGAAGGGATAATAGATGACGTGCCCTTTGCTGGCAGGCTTCGCCTTCTGAATTTTGCATAGGGGTGGGGAGCCCTTCTCAAAAGAATCCTTAAGTATACTTGATTTACACCCAGGCCAGCAGAACAAAAGCAATGTTAAAAAGTCAGGGCAGCAAAAAAACAATTGGCAAGCGTTTAGGTCTTCTTAAACAAGGACTCTACTTTTAGATTTTCAAGCCTCTTCTATCAAGATCTCCTGGCCTGCCTTATAAGAAGACGCAGCATTATTAGACATCTGTTATTAGACATATTTGGCGTATATGTATTTGGAGTACATAGGCTGACTCAGCCTTCCATCCTTCCGAGGTCGGTAAAATGAGGACCCCCATTGTTGGGCTGGCTCTGTAAACTGGCTTTAGAGAGAGGGCTGTAAAGCACTGTGAAGCGGCATATAAGTCTGAGTCCTGTTGCTATTTGCTATATATTAAGAGGATAATTCTCCATATAAATCATGACAGGCCAGGTTGGCCTAAATGCACAAGAGGCAGGCTGAGAACATTCAAACCTTGGGGGTTTGAAACCCAAACAGGTTCACCCCTTTATTTCTCCACCAGGAAAGGCAGAGAGGTAACATCCTGGCCTACCTTGTCCGATGGTGCGTGGTGGGGTGGGAGGGGGGGGGCTTAGGAAGGTAAGGGGTGGGCAGCGCTTCTAAAGCCCCCCTAACCCCCCACCAAGCAAGGTTAAAAAAAAATACACCTTCTCTTTACCACCACCCCCCTTTCCGGGAACAGCTGCCCAAGGAGAGGGGTGGGCTGGGGTCCCAGCGGGGTGGGGTGGGCTGGGGCGAAGGGTCTCGGCTGCTTTAGGGAGAGGGGGTCCAGGGGGCGAAGGGCTGCGGCCAGGGACCCCGCGCGCCCCCTTCCTCCCGCCGCACCTGAGCACGCGGAACAGCAGGCAGGCCATCAGACAGGCGCTGGCCGCGCAGGCTCCGATGACAGCGGCCTTCAGCGCCGGCAAATCGCGCAGCATCGCCAGGACCGGGTTGCGCTGGGCAGCGCCGCTGTGGTTCCCGGCCGAGGAGGGCGGCGGAGGAGGCGGCGGAGGCGGCGAGACGGCCGCTTTCTGGGGGTCGCCGGGGCCGTTGCTGCCGTTCTTGGCTGCGCCAGGGATGGAGGCGGGCGGCGGCGGCGCCAGGGCCAGCAAGGCGGCGGGCAGGATCGCGAGCAGGAGCAGGAGCAGCAGGAGGCAGGTTGGCTTCTCCGGGCGAGACATGGTGCCGGGCAGGGAAGCAGGCAGGCAGGCGCGCAGAGTCCGCGTAAAGGCGCGCAGAGTCCGCGTAAAGGCGCACGGAGTTGGGGAGGAGGGAGAGGCTCTGCGCGCGCGAGAGACAGGATCGCGCGGCTTCCTCGCGCGGGCGGCTCGCCCCACCTGCCAAGGCAGCAGCGCTCTCGGCCGCGGTTTGCGCTCCGAGCCGGATCAGCCGAGCGAGCGAGCGAGCGAGCGGCGGGGGAGGAGCTGAGCTGGCTGCGCTGGGGAAGGGAAGGGAAGAGAAGGGAAGGGAAGGGAAAGGAAAGGGAGGGAGGGAACGGTGGGTAGGCACCAGCTGGCCCGGGGCCGGGCCTCGGCAGCGGCAGGGAGGCTGGGGGTGGGGGTGACAGCTGCTCCGAGGGGAGCGCCTCTAGCCTCTGCCCCCGTGCAGAAGGCCTTTGCGCTTCCAACAAAAGAGAATACCGGTATCTGTCGCTCAGGGTTGAAAACTGAGGGCTCCTGGCTTGTTTTCTTGCAGACCTGTCCAGTAGGGTTGCCAGGTCTGCTTCCAAAAAATAGCGGACAAGCGGGGGTGTGTGTGTTAAGTAGTAAAAAAAGGTAGACTGTACAGCTTTAGATTACGTACCATTTCATCATAAAGCTTTTGAATAAAAAAAAATGTCCACTATTTTGTGAAAAAAAATAGTGAACATAATGTGAAAAAAAGTGGACTGTCCACTCAAATAGTGGACACCTGGCAACCCTACCTGAGTGGCACTGTCCAGGCTAGCCCTGATGATGTTACCTTGTGTGGGTCATGAAACGTCTGCAAGAAAAAAAAAAAGCCAGCTCTGAGAGCACCCAGGATCTCACAGTTGTTCCCCCACCTCCTCTCTTCCACTCCACAAACCTCCCTCCTTTTTAGCACTGATGATGCTACCTAGTTAGGGTAATGAAAAGTCTGCAAAAAAAAACACAAGCTCAGAGGGCACCCAGGAGCCCTCCTTTGCCTGGGGTCCCAGTTGCCAAGCCAAGGAGACCCGACTCAACTCTGCGCACCTTGGCAGAGTAGAGTCCTCCAGGCTTCTGCTCACGTGCAGAGTGCCTTCCCCCCTTGGCCAAGATCAGTTGACCGAAAGCTTCTTCCACCGAGCTAAACAGGGAACCCAGTTGAGAACCTCAGAAAAAGATGTGAAGGGGAACGGTTTTTTTTCTTCTTCTTGGTTCCCAGGGAGGTCAATGCCTGGCCAGTCTTGGCCTTGCTTAATCATGGTTTCTTGGCTGACACAAGTTTGTCCACACATTCAGTGTTGCCATAAGCCCTGATTTACAAGCCATAACAGAGCTGGATTCATTTATTAAGGTGAAAGGCCTAAACCAAGCATTGTTTATTTATTTTTTTTACAATTGTTCTGTTTTGCTCCCTTTGTGTTGTGTGTTAGGTGCCTTGAAACATTGTATTATTTCAGTACGGTGATGTTTAAATCATAAGAGATTACTGGCATTCTGTTATCTGGAAAAGAGTATTGAAAATAAGAGCAAAAAAAGATATTCTATCAATAATTAATTACAATTCAAGATATCAGTGTATTATATCATATTAATGAGAGAGAGAAAAAGGTGAATAGAACAAGCTTAGCAAGAATTAAAATACCCCAATAGTAGAAGTAATAATAATAATTAAGAAACAATGAGGTTTTTTTTAAAACTTAGTTTAACTAAATTTAAGCAAGAATAGTTCGCCTACACTCAAGACAGCACGGCAAATATAATCACTAACAGTTTGGCTTTTAAGGAGGGCTTTGTTCTTTTTCTTCCATTCAATGTGTCCATGAAGCTAGAGTCCAGGGGTCTCCAAACTTGGCAACTTTAAGACTTGTGGACTTCAACTCGCAGGGCTGGCTGAGGAATTCTGGGAGTTGAAGTCCACAAGTCATCAAAGGGCCATAGTTCCCTCACGCTGGCTGAGGAATTCTGGGAGTTGAAGTCCACAAGTCATAAAGGGGTCCTAGTTCCCTCACGCTGGCTGAGGAATTCTGGGAGTTGAAGTCCACAAGTCATAAAGTTGCCAAGTTTGAAGACCCCTGAGCTATTAGGTGGTTCTCCCAAAGGAGATCCTGCAGAAGGACAAAACTCACACTGTTGTTTAAACCCTGAGAGTAATAGTAACCTAATAGTGAATGTGAATTTGGATGAGTTCAGAAAGGTGAAGTGTGTGCCATTGGTTAAAGAAAAGCTGGAATGGGGGTGGGATGAAATATTTTAGAGGATGGCAGGCACCCTGACAGAAGCCAGGAGCCTCACCTGATCCCAGGTGAGGCAATAACCAAGGATAGGCAAACCAAGCTTTGTTGAATAAGTCACAACCGGCTGGGTTTGAATAATACATGAAGTCAAAGCCATATCCTTTGATCTCTGACCAAGTCATTGTTCCTCTTGGGATAATCATTTTACAACCAACGTGGAAGACTTTGAGTCTGGGAAAAGGTGGGAAGAGAAGAAAATGAATCCGTAGGACTTAGGGTATCAGGGATGGAAGGGACTTTGGAGATCTTTTAGTTCAACCCTAAGCTAAAGCAGGAGGTGTTGTACCAGGGGCCTTCAAACTTGGCCCTTTTATGACTTGTGGACTTCAACTCCCAGAATTCCTCAGCTAGCGTGCCTGGCTGAGGAATTCTGGGAGTTGAAGTCCACAAGTCATAAAAGGGCCAAGTTTGAAGACCCCTGCATTATACCATCCCAGGCAAAGGGCTGTCTAATCTTTTCTTGAAAACCTCCGGTGATGGAGCACCCACAGCTCTGGGAGGTAAGCCGTTCTATTGATTAATTGTTCTCACTGACAGGAGATTTCTCCTTAATTCTAGGTTGACTTTCTCCTTGGTACGTTTCCGTCCCTTGCTTCTTGTCCTGCCCTCCGGTCCTTTGGAGAATAGTCGACCCCTTCTTCCCTGTGACAGCCCCTCAAACATTGGAAGATTGCTATCGTGGCATGCCTAATCCTTCTCTTCATTAGACTAGACCTGCTTAGTTCCTCCAACTGTTCTTCATACAACTTAGCCTCCACCCCCACCCCAATCGTCTTTCTTGCTCTCCTCTGCTCTTTTTCTAGCTTCTCAACATTTTTGTGCGTGTCGTGGTGACCAGAACAGGGACGCATTCTTCCCAGCGTGTCCTCTTTAGTTATCGTTCAAAATAACCCAACTCTAAAACCTCTAAAGCATCATCACTCATGCCTGAAATATGGAGCCATGGAGAATGGGGGGGAAAAAAACCAAAAAAAAAAAAAAAACCCTGACAAATTATGTGTGTCACGTTGTTCTTTCTGAGGGCGAGAAGCCCAGCCAAGTTCTCCGACTGGTTCTCCTGCTTTCCGTGTTCCAATTTCAACCAAAGATGCGTGGCGTTCCTGCAGGGGCTGATCCTGGCCCCAAGGCCTGTAAGTGATACAATGGGAGTTTTTTCCGTCACCTGCCCCGGCTGAGCTGGGGATCTGCCCACATTCGGCCATTCATTTCTCTCCCTCCCCTTAATTGTTTCCAGCTCTGCTGTTTTCCGTAGTTTGTCCAGCCAGTTGAATCTTTGGGTGGACATCCCTTAAAGCTGGGCTCTTCAAACTTGGCCCTTTTATGACTTGTGGACTTCAACTCCCAGAATTCCTCAGCCAGCCCTCAGGGGCCTTCAAACCTGGCCCTTTTATGACTTGTGGACTTCAACTCCCAGAATTCCTCAGCCAGCCCTCAGGGGCCTTCAAACTTGGCCCTTTTATGACTTGTGGACTTCAACTCCCAGAATTCCTCAGCCAGCCCTCAGGGGCCTTCAAACCTGGCCCTTTTATGACTTGTGGAGTTCAACTCCCAGAATTCCTCAGCCAGCAGGCCTGCAGGCATTGTTCACTCACTCTGGTTCGTCTGAACATGCTTCTTTCCAGATTCAGACTTAAGAGCTAGCACATATGACACACAGAGCCTGTGAAAACGAGGCAGGATACAGGAGTGGCTGCTGTTCTGTTTGTTTTTCAGGAAGGTATTAATTCTCTCTCGCTCCTGTCGGCGGGACTGGAATATGGTTCTTTCCACAGCTTCTCAACCTAAGTTAACTAAGCCCCTGCTCTTTTTAGCACCCAACTAAGCGGCAAATAGACGAAAATTTTGAGACCTTCGGACCATCTCGGTTTTTCCACCTGTCACTACAAGAACAGAGATATCTGGCTGAGTGCCAAGGATGAGAGTGCCCTGCCTGTTGTAATATAATCACAAGAAAAGCTGGTTAGTCCCTAAATCCCAATACTGGTATGAGCTGCAGTTGCTTAAGGGAAATATATGGGGTTTTGTTTTTTCCTACAATTTCTTCTGCCTTATTCACTTTTTGTCTGAGATATCACTTAAGATCATCCAGAAAGGACAAACACTGGTTCCAGAGTGTTCTGCATCGCAAGATGTGGTTTTGACTACCAGTTTCGCTGGCATCAAAAAAACAAAAGGGTTGGACCAATTAAAGAAGTCATGGGGAACAATGGTGTTAGCCTCGAGGGCAGTAGACCTCCTCTGAAAGCATCTGTTGAGAGGTTAGTGCAGAGGTCCCCAACCTTTTGGTCACCAGGGACCAGTTCCATGGAGAGGGGTTTTTCCGTGGACCGGAGGGTGCGTGGTTTTGTGTGCTGCCTGCATCTCGCAGATGGGTCTTTGCTTGTTTGTGTGGACCGGTTGCTGGTATGCTGAGGCCCAGTACTCATCCGGGAACCGGGAGTTGGGAACCCCTGGGTTAGTGGGTTTCCTTGGGCAGTTGGTTGACCACTATGAGAAGAGATTTCTGGACTAGATGCGCCAGGACTCCAGGTGTAGAAGAAGAGCAGGCAGAGCTGGGAAGGCTGAGTTAAGTGAGTCAGCAGTCTGGAATCATTACGTTCCAACAAACAGTCTAAGTCCAATCCTTTCTGAATTCTGTTGACCCTTGTCTGATGCCAATTTAGTATTAAACTTTAATTGGCTAGATTCTTGGATATAAGCTTGGGCAATAAGTCTTCT